AACCAATAGAAATGCAAGCGCTGGGTGTTTCTGCCCCAGAGATGCCTTCCCCATGAAACATCATTCTAGGCAGTGGACTCGGAGGGGAACCTGAAACTCTCCTAACAGCCGCTTGACAACACCAACACGCTCATGTGAGGGAGCCCTGTGTGTTCCCGTGGAAACTGCACGCGGCCCTCCAGTGTGCCCAAGCAGGAGCCTGGCACCGATGCAGCTACTTCGCCCTGAACAGCTGAGATGATCGTGGATTTAAATGTTGGCTGGGATCCTCCAGCTTCCAGGCAAATGGAAGTATTACTTTCCACTTATTCTAGGCACTAGCACTATTAAAGGAAATTGAGCAACTTCATTTTAGTGAAGCCTGTTAAAGCACCACATGCTTCAATATTTTATGAGAACATTTGAATGTTTTAGCATTTTGGCAAGATAATTCATAGGTTGGCTTCTGGAGTCTATATATTATGTTGAAATCAAGGAAGAAGATGGGATTCATACAGTCTGGCTGGAGGTACTATGTGTGAGTTATAGTGAAATTTGAAAAAAAAAATCAACTGTGAGGAGATAACTACCTATTTCTTTTCCGGAAGCACAGTCTGTCTGACTACCCTCTTACCAAAAACTTAACCACAGGCTGAGGGTTTTAAGCGGAATGCAGAAATACCATGCCTGTGGGTGCTGGACACTTCGCCCCTGCAGTCCCACTGACATGTGCTCACCAGTCCTGGAAGGTGTGGAAATTGCAACATACTTTTGCTCCCAATTTGCTAAGGTTTCAACACTGACTATAATAACTCTCTCCATTTGAGGAGAAAATAGGATACAATTGATTAGCCAGATGTAGGGAGGGCACCATTTCATTCCAAGAAAAGTCTGATTTATTAATATCAAAAAAGCAAATAACTCATTGCCTTTTGGGATCTATTAAGTAGTTGCTCATCAAAGGAACTAATAGTTCTACCTTATTGAAAATACACTACTGCTGAATCTGTTCGTATCTGGCACATGATTTCCTTAAATGCTTGATGTATGAATGAATGAATGAGCCAAATACACATGTTGAATTGCATCAAGTTGATAACATAGCAGGGCAGAGTTCAGGCTCCAGAGTTAGGACTCACAATTTGTCATCTTTGATAAACTAGTCAGTTTCCTCATCTGAAAAATAGGACTAATAGTATCTTCCTCATAAGGAGTTTTAGGAAAATGAAATGAGATAGTTAATGTGAAGGTGTTTCCTGGTTTGTGGTACCCAATAAGCATCCCATTCTTTGGTCCCTATTTGTCCTATCATAAGCCAGACACTGCTCGACATAAAACAAATCAGCTTTTCGATATAATTATTATGTTTCCACAACCAACTCTCGGTTCTGGTTGGAGCATCGCGTTAGGAAGGACACTGATGGGCACTTAGTGATGTCTAACTTTGGTGTGGGACTGAGAATACCACAAGCAGGTACAGTGTCTGGCACACGGTGTGTGACCAGGGCACAGTTTTGGAAGGAAGGTTCCTTTGCAGGACAGTGTTCACAAGTTCACAAATAGATGAGTCTTCCAGAATAAAGTTTTACTTGAAAACACATCAATTCAATTTGAACCCAGAGCCCAGAGGAATTTGTAGATTGGATTAAATGGGGAAGGGCAGGAAACCCAATTGCCCCAAGTCCTTAAAGCCCAAATCTTCCAACATTTTACAACTTGGAAAAACTAAGGACCAATCAAGCAGACTGTATGACTGGATTGGGCCCCTTTCCATGATCTCAATTGTGGGCATCCTTACTGATAAAGAAGAAACAAAAGAGGAAGGACAACAGACTCTTTCTCCCCTATGAAAAATTCAAACCGAGCTGAGCGAAACACGACTTAGCAAAGTCACAAAGTGCTTATGCATTTTTAAAAGAGGCAGCTCTACAATCTCCCCCCGCCCCCCAAACTCCCCACCTGCTAATGGCTGGGAACACAATGTGCATCATTTACAGCGACATCTGGGAAAACTGCTTTCCCTGTCTCCTCTGTCAATGATGTAGGAGCCTGCCCGTCTGGGAGCGAGGTGGCCAGATTTAATTTATTGGGGCTGCTAAAAGACTTTCTTAGTATCCCAGCTGAAAAGTCAATAACGGCCAAATTGATGTTTTTCTAATTCTGCTAACCTTGGGAAAGATATTGCAGAGTGCAGATTGGTTGCAGGCAGGCTGTGCAAGTTTCTGAGAAAAATGAATCTTCAAGCTTGACAATTGTCATTTCTTGCTTGTGGTTGACCTTTTCTCCGCATGGACATTGGGCCTTGGATGGGCCTGGCGGGGGCTCCTCATTAAGAGGAAGCAAGTTTGGGTAAGTTTGAAACAGTTAAACCATCCATGCACCAGTCAGGGCCTCGGGTGGACACACTGCCTGCTGGTATTGCCATCTCCGAAGGGGCCTGGCTCTGGGATTACAGAAAAAAGCAATATTGGAAACTGGGACCAACTACTTCTGGGGTAAATAAGAGTTGGGTTGAAGCTGATGAGCCGATGCAGACAAGGAGTCCTCCTCTAGCACACTCCCTCATGGACAGAACCCAACAGGAAGCCACCTGACCAATGAAAGTGTGGTTAGCTGAACTCCACCCC